GAGCAGCCAGTGCTCTTAACCTCTGAGCCATCTCTCCAGCCCTAAATCAGTAAGTCTTAAAAAAAAAATCTACCTTGTGCCTCTGCCCTTTTACTTTTCTCTATCTCTTTCTTTCCTTCTTACTCCGTTGCTGGCCGTGTGGCTGGTGTTTTCTTTCCCCCTTTTCTCCTCCTTCCCTTTTCCTCTCTCCTGTTTACAAATGTTCTACAGCATAAAAGAATGTAACACACCTTCAACTAATATCCCACAACAGCTCTGAGCTGCCATGTGAGTGCTGGGAATTGAACCCCGTGTCCTCTGCAAGAGGGGCCAGTGCTCTTCACAGCTGAACCATCTCTCCAAGCCCATAAAAATAATAATATAATTATATAGAATTTCTGGGGGAGATTGGTTCATCTTTCAGGTTTCAGAACAAATACCACTGACCAAAGTGTACCCTCTGTTCTACTTGGCTTTCTGTTCCTGTGATAAACAGCATGACCAAAGGCGACTTCGGAAAGCAAGAGTTTATTTTACCCTACAGGTTAGAGCTCTTCACTGAGTGAAACCAAGGCAGAAGCCTGAAGCAGAAAAAAACCTTGGCAATTTGCTGCTTACTGTCTGGTTCCCTGTGGCTTGCTCTGCTAATGCTTTTATACAGCCCAGCCCTATTAATAGGTCCATGGATACACTACCCACAATGGGCTCCTGCAACAATTAACCATCAAGGTTTCTCTGTATAACAGCTCTGGATGTCCTGGAACTTGCTCTGTAGACCAGGCTGACCTCAAACTCATAGAGGTCTGTGTGCCTCTGCCTCTGGAGCACTGGGGTTAAAGGTATGTGCCACCACAGCCCACCCCATTCCTTTTTTTGTTTTGTTTTGTTTTGTTTTTTGAGACAGGGTTTCTCTGTGTAGCTTTGCAGCCTATCCTGGCACTCGCTCTGGAAACCAGGCTGGCCTCGAACTCACAGACATCTACCTGCCTCTGCCTCCTGAGTGCTGGGATTAAAGGCATGAGCCATCAATGCCCAGCTTCAGCCTGCATTCTTATGGAGCCCAGGACCACCAGGCCAGGGATGGTACCATCTACAATGGGCTAGACCCTCCCCCGTTAATAATTAAGAAAAATTCCTATAGGCCAACAATCCCAATCTTACAGAGGCATTTTCTTAAATGAGGCTCCCTCTCAGATGACTTTAGCTTGTGTAAAATTGACATAAAACTATCGAGCACAGGAAGGAAAGAAAGAAGGAAGGAAGGAAGGAAGGAAGGCAGGAAGGAAGGAAGGAAGGAAAGAAGGAAGGAAAGTGTCCCCCAACAATAGCCCAAGAGTCAAATCACTTACACTGTTGCAGAGGACCCAAGGAACTATATGGGGCTGCTCATTACTACCTATAATTTCAGCTCCAGAGGACACAACAGCCTCTTCTGGCATCCATGGAACCCCCCCACACACACACACACACTCACAGATGAGTGCACACAAGAACACATTTTAAAACAAATCTGTGGGAGCCACCTGGAGGCCGTGAAGCTCCTGTGAGGGACCCGGATGCTGGAGGGGGGCGAGCATCCTGAATCCGTGGGGGATGCTGAGTTAGCTGCACCGGATTCTGCACACTCACATTGGTGCTCTTTCCCACCCCACCCCTTCCTCTCCCCTCTTAGAACGAGTTCCCGCTTTGAAAACCAGGCTGGCCTTGAACTTGGTCCTCCACCTTTTCCCCCAGAATAGTTAGGATTACACATTTACCACCACACCTGCCCACCGCAGCCATTTGAGCCATTCTTTAAAAAAATAAGTTTCAATCCCAGCACTCGGGAGGCAGAGGCAGGCGGATCTCTGTGAGTTCGAGGCCAGCCTGGTCTCCAGAGCGAGTTCGAGGACAGCCTCCAAAGCCACACAGAGAAAAAACAAAACAAACAAAAACAGTAAGTTACATTTATTTAGCCACCCCTGATCCCATCTCTTTAGCCCCAAGAGCTTTCTCTCGATGGCTAAGCTTCCCATCCGCGACGTAATTCGTAATTCACACGGTTAAACTCCCGGCTTCTCTTTCCCACTGTAGACACGTTTATACGGTGAGAGGAACCGCAGGACAGTGGTGTGTGGGCGACGGTTTGACTTCCAGCTGATCTCAAGGACACAGTGTTTTTACTCGGACTGCTGTGCTTATCACACAGCTGGGGACAGCATGTCCTCAGATTTTTGGAGGACACCTGGGGACAAGCACACAAGGGTCTGAAATGTGGGGATGGGGCCCCCACTTTCCTGGGACAGCGTGTGACAGTTTACCAATATCATGTATGTGTCACCGCCCTGCACAACCCCAGGCAAGTGGCCCCATCAGGGACACACCTCCCCTACTGCCCTGATCCCAGGGAGGGGGCCTGCCCTTCGAAGGAGTAAGACTCTAGGAAAGGGGTTCTTTTCTGACTTTCTCAGGCCCCAGGGTGAGAATTCCTTTGGCAGCAAACACCGTTTGTACCGTTCCTAAAGCTCCCCGGCCTCTTTGTAGCACCACTATAATTACTACTCAAAATAATAATTACCGTTTTTCTCTTTGTACGGCGCTTTGAAGCGGCGAGATCCTCCAGGGCAGGGATGTGGTTTGGTTCATCCCTGGGTCCCAGGCCCCTGGCACTGGAAGGCTCAGATTATATTTATTGGACAAATAGATGATGGATGGGCTGAGCAGGTGAGCTCTGGGGTGGAGGGGTGGGGGTGAGGCAGGGAAAGAGCGCGGTGAGCCGGTCACTGGGTGCCCACAGCCTGGAGTCCTAGAAGTGAGATCTGACTGTAGGTTACCTACTGATAACCCATTCACGGAGACATTTGAGAAAGGACAGTTAAAACTGCTGTTTTCACCCCCCCCCCCTTTGATCTGTAAACCAGGCTGGCCTCGAACTCACGGAGATCCCCCAGCCTCTGCCTCCCGAGTGCTGGGATTAAAAGCGTGCGCCACCACCACCCGGTGAGAAAGCACAGTTAAATGAGGAGCTGGAGTATGGTTCGGTTGGTAGAATGCTTGCCCAGCATGCACAAAGCCCTGGATTCAATCTGTAGCAACGCTGAAAGCCGGTGTGGTGGTGCACGACTGTCATCCCAGCCTGTGGGAATTAGCTTGCAAGCAGATGTCCGGGAGTTTGAGGGTTGCTTGGTGCACACGGTATGTTCCAGGCCAGCTGGGACCACATAATGAGATCCTGTCAAGAAATAAACAAGTAAACAAACAGCCAGCCAGGCGTTGGTGGCGCACGCCTTTAACCCCAGCACTTGGGAGGCAGAGGCAGGCGGATCTCTGAGTTCGAGGCCAGCCTGGTCTCCAGAGCGAGTGCCAGGATGGGCTCCAAAGCTACACAGAGAAACCCTGTCTTGAAAAACCAAAAAATAAAATAAATAAGCAAGATTGGACCTGCAGAGGAGACTCAGTGGTTAAGAGCGCTTACTGCTTTGTCAGGTATTAGGATTCGGATCCTAGAATCCTCATCTGACAGCTCACAAATGCTGTAACTCCAGCCCCAAGAGATTAGCCACAACCTTATAGCCCTACAGCCCATGTGGGCACCCGCACAAATGCAAACGCACAGACACAGACAGACATATGCACACACAGATACAACGCAACACAAAACATCTTTAAAAACGGGTGGAGTGCAGCTCAGGGCGTTAACGAGTGTCTGCGGCTCTGGCAGAGGACCCGAGTTCAGTTCCCAGCACCCACGGCAGATAGCTCATAACCAACCACCTGCAGCTCCAGATCTAGGGCCTCTGACACACTCTTCTGGCCTCTTCGGATACCTGTGTTTTTGGTGCTGTTTGTTTTCTCCAGACAAGGTCTCTCTGTGTGTAACCTTGGCTGTCCTGGTGCTCGCTCTGGAGACCAGGCTGGCCTCGAACTCACAGAGATCCGCCTGCCTCTGCCTCCCGAGTGCTGGGATTAAAGGTGTGCACCACCACAGCACAGCTTGGGCACCAGCATTTATGTGCACACACCCACACAGACACCCGAGGAGCAACAGCTGATGTTGACCTGTGTGGATTTTCTCCGTGGGAGTGTCAAGGGCTTCCCGTGCCGCCGTCTGGCATCACCCCGAAGGGCTCTACGGTGGCTCGCCCTGTGGCAGACTCTCACATCCGGAGCGACCTGAAAGTAAAGACCGGGGCCACCTCACCTTCAACACCTCAACAGCTGCGAAGGTGCAAATTCAGGGTCAGATTGGAGCCACGACAGGAACAGTTTATGTCGTGTGACACAGTAATGTCAGGAACAGGAGCACACGCCCTCGGCAACACCTGCTACGACAAGGAGAGCGCGGGATGGAAGCATTTTCCAGAAACCGTTTAGAATCTGCAGATGAATTCTTCCTAACTTCCAAGACCAATCCGCTCCCAGAAAGAGAAAGGTGACCAGGTTTTTTGTTTTTTTAAGATTTATTTATTATATGTACAGTGTTCAGCACCAGATCTCATAACAGATGGTTGTGAGCCACCATGTGGTTGCTGGGAATTGAACTCAGGACCTCTGGAAGAGCAGCCAGTGCTCTTAACCTCTGAGCCATCTCTCCAGCTCCCAAAGTAATCCTTTAGAGACGAAAAAGTGAAGGGTGTAGCCCACCACGTACCCTTACCCAATCCTTCTTATTGTTCATTTTGAGCCTGAGTGGAAAGATCCCCAGGGTCAGGGTTAACACGCAGATTCTCGGGGGGCCTAGAGAAGGCTCAGAAGTAAGGCTCATTTGTTGCTTTTCCATAGGACCCACCTTCTGCTCCCAGTACCATGTTGGGGGGGAGGGGGGCTCCCAACCACCGGTTAACTCCAGCCCTAAGGGACTGGTGTCCTCTTCCGCCTCTGAGGGCACATACAGGATGCCCGCAGGGCACTCACACATGGGCATAAATAAAAACAATCAAGTAAGTCTTTAAAAAAAAAAAACACAGGTCTGACGCAATCACTCTGAAAGGGAATCTGGGACTCCACATTTCTCACAGGCTTTCGGGTGACGCCAATATGGCACACCTTGAGACTCTCACTC